GGTTCCAGAAACGAAACAATATTTTCAAGCAGTTCTGCTGGTAGAGTTGAAAAGCCACTATACTGACAGCTTTCAGCCGGTCCCTTTTTAGTGGGCTCATCTTCTGGTCGCGGGTGATATGATGACCGAAGGGTAAGGGACCTGAATTTCCGGATCAGCCTTTTAAATTTGGTCAACTCCATGTCCTTCCAAAAGGGCGGGGTAACTGGGCAGCAGTAGCTATAAGAAAGGAGTTGGTTATGTTTGGAAGAGAGAATATTTGAGTATGAACAGCAGATTTTGGTCGTTTCTGCGCTTTATCACTGAAAAGCGGCCAGCAAGGCTGCAACAGCCGCCGCGTGGCTAGAGCCGGGATATGCCTGCCAACACGGGGAGTAAAGAGCTCATGCTTTGTTAAACAGCAGTTGTAGGATGACCTCGCCACTATGTAGACTCTCCATCCTTACGCTCGCTATCCAATGGTATGTGGTACTTAGTGTTGGGCGTTGGACATTTGATGTTGGATGTTGGAGGCTGGAAGCTGGATTACGTCATCCATCCTCCAACGGTCCCCATGTGGGTCGGCCCGAAAGTGTAACCCAACTCTTAACAGGTAACTAACTAGTTAATTAACTGATCTTGAAGTCTGATTGGCTAACCAATTTAATAACTCATACCTCCTAACTAACCAGTTACTGGCTCTCTAAGCAATGTCTATATAATCAGCATGCAGAAAGGAATGCTACATGGTTATTAATGGTGTAGTTACAGTCATGCTGTAAAGTCCTTAATAATTTTAGCCATTAGCAACAGCTTCACTGGCTATCAATATACTACTATAACTAACTGCTAAGCGGCAGGGAGTTCCAATTATCCTCAGGAGTCTACTTTGTAATGCAGATTTATCATACTGCACGTAGGAGAAATCAATGTGTCATCACCCGACATCTTTTTATTTTTTATATCCTGCATTGCATTTCATCCATACTTGGAAATTAATACATCATGTAACAGACTATGATGTCCAGGTAGTCCAGGTACCTACAATATATAAAGAGATTGCAATGATGGACAAAAATCATTAGAAACCCAAGCACTCATAGCCATCCTCTTCTCCCATATTGTCCTTCATATATGAGGTCCTTGCAACTATACGTTATCAGAGACCCTTAAGTACAAATGGCAAACCAAACAGCGTTACGATGGTTCGTGCTCTTAACCGGGCTTTTCCTTTTGATATGTCAGGTGATAGCCACGCCAGTGGAGAGGTATGTTGTCTTCTTAGCTCCATACGGGATACTGAATTAAATACATAATCTCATGTTGTTTTTATAGTAATGGCATTGGTACCTTAGGACATCTGGAGATCCGAGGTAACAGTCATTCCAAGGGCAAATCGACCAACAAGAACGGAGGAAATAAGGGGAAACAAAACTCTCCACCCCCGACACGCCCTACTCCCACTTCCACATCACGACCTACCCTGAGCAAAACAACGAGCACTAGCCCACCAACATCAACGTCGACATCTGCCCTTGTGCGGCTCTGGAGCTCGATTCCAGATGCTGATACAGTCAGGATAAACAGCGTCATGGGTAGAAAAACTGACCCCGGTGTGACGGCAAGGCTTCGGGCAACTTCATTATATGGTTGCACAGCCATAGTCGATGTCGATGAATTAGGAATGGTTCTCGGCCATATTGCTCAAGAAGGCAAAGGAAACAACATATACACCTTGGAATCGATACCACAGGTCGGGGAGTATCTTACGACGTTTGTAGAGCACGGGGGCTTAGTGTTTGACTTTGGCAGAGAGACTCACGCAATAATCTACTATTCCAGAGGAAAGGCTTCCTTTACAGGAGGCAGAATCGACATTGGGCTTAACTGCATCAAAAACTATCTTGTCACCCTAGGCGTCCAGGAAGCAAATGTGCATTTCTCGCAGTATACATCAGGCGGCCCTACCGTCGGTCCTCGCAGCAAACTTGTGGTGGAAAGTGTCTATAACAATAACGCAAGGAGAACAAACGTATATATTGCGAAGGAAGACCCTATTTGGCAAAGAGACTTTACCAAGCCACTCAGGCCAGCGCGATTCAACTTTCAGCCGGGACCGCCACTTCCTCGGCTCTCGCATAATGATCAGGTGGCCTTTGAAAGGCACTGTGATTTCGCAGCCGGTTAAGTTGTGCCGAGGGTATTTTGACCAGTTGGTTGGCGAGTTGAGCAGGAGGATGGTTACCTATTAACTATCTAAGTAGTCAACTTGCTTCCCCCATGCCCGTTAACTATTTGTATGGCTCCTCAAGCAGCCTATAGATGCCACGATACAGCCAGTGTTTAGTTTGATTCTTCTTTTGCGGTGGTTGAGAATTGGTCTTAAATCGTTTTTCTCTAAGTCAGTTAGTTATTCAATGGCAGTGATGCTCGACGTTGGATGTTGGTCAATAATGGATTATCTTACAATATCCTCCTTACCTCCTCTTCCTAACCACATTTTCCATTTCTATTCTATAATATTGATTTATTCCGTCCCAAAACATCACATCCCGCGCGAAAGTGACCGAGGAATCGAACTTTACAAAAACAAGGATGCTTGGGTAACTAACCATGATAAGCAGATTCAGCAAGATAATTCAACCACCCACTGTAATTCCTTGGAAGCGCACGCCAAGTAGTATCCGGGGAACATTGATTCTGGTGGTAGATTGCATGTTGAGCAGAAAAAATCCAAGTCCTATTTCTTCCTGCTAACACTCTTTCCACCACTGAATCCCCATGTTCGTGTTGAGAGCACAGATTTCAGCCGAAGTGTTCTATAAGGCAACCCTATTCCCGAAATTTTTGCAGGACATCCAAAGACACAGAAGGTTTCGGCATAAGTGCTGGCAAAAAGGGCTTGGGCCGGTCTTGTGCATTATTTGATTACCCACATGCTGATACAGCGGGGAAGGGCTTGCAAGTTTAAGTGATAACTCCTTTGCGCAGGGTTTCCCCAGAAGATATATCCTCACTCACAACAACAGTCCATCAAATCTTCGCTATAACTAGTTAACTAGTTATATTTGATACCCATAAGCGAATAGATATTAACTTTTGAAGAAAGTCGCTAAATAGAATGGAATTTAGAAAATAAATTAAATGATAAAAAAATCCGTAATCTGATGTCTGGCTTTGAGAATAAAAGGGGTTTGCCCAAGTTCCTTGAGTGTGGGAAGAGGTGCCTGATTTGTCAGCTGGCCGGGTTTTTAGCGCGCGTTTTTCGGTTATTGGCGAGACAGCGACCATATTAACTACGTCGTAGCCCTTCTACAAAATAGAGAGAAAAGAGATCGTATATTTGAAAGGATTCCATTGAGATATGAGCTCAACAAGGACCATCTCAGAAGCCAAGCTCGGTTTTCTTCGTGACCAAATTCGCGTGCTGTCGGCGCCGCTCAGCCCGTCCCCTGACTGGCGCGAATACGGTCCTGCCGCCGAGGACGACATCGGCGAGAAGGCCATCAGTGAGGCATTACAAAAATGTAAATAAGCTGCTGTTATATATACCCTCTCACTTGCTTGTCAGCTCGCGCTTTTTTGCCTTCCACACATGCCTGTGAGCCCTTTGTTGACAGGATACAAATGCAGTCAACACGCTTTTGAAACAGCATAACCGTGCCGTCTTCTCGACACAGGCAATACATCATGTCTCCCAGCAGATTGAGCGGCTTTACTGGAATTCTATCAGCCCGGAATTCGGCCAAGAAGGCTCCCGACAGCCTGACATTGACAAAGGAGCTGATCTGACGAATGCCAGGTAAGCTGAAGATTGGACGTTGTGAATATGTACGTGTGGGCTGATTCTCAGCAAAGGAATATATCCAAATTACCGGATGAGTGGCTTGAAGACGGGGTAGATGAGGAGGACAAATCTCGGTAAGAGGATCTACTTGACCCTCAATATACATATATGTCTGCAACGGATGGTGCTTACGCAGGTGAAAAGATATAAGTTTCTTCGAGAGAGACTTGTCAAACTTGACGCAGAACGAAAGAAGAGGGAGGATAAGCTACTCCAGTACAAGCACTTGAAGAGCTTGTTGGAACCGTTTGAAGATCCCTTGAATACCATCCAGCCTAATCTTGCTACAAGAGATGGCGAACTCGGGGCAGAGCTAGACCGTATGAGGATGTTGCTGGCCAAGGTCGCAAGCAAAGTTGGGACAATTCAGAACGACACTCAAAACTCCAAGAAAAAAGAAGAAGACGCAGCTATTATGGACACAGACGACAAGCTAGCCAGACTGCTTGATATGACTTGAGCTAATACTTGTTCTTTATGTCTGATTTCGTGGAGAAGGCGACAACCTTGAGAAGACAAACCTGACTCCAGGGCTAAAAGGCCTGGCAGTAGGTGGTGAAGTGGAACAGAAAACGTACCACACATACCCTCGCACCCATCTGAAAACAGCAATCGAGCCGCAGTTTACTATATAGATGGAAAATACCATCACCACTTCTACCTCCACGAAGTCAATCGGAGGGAATAAATTTCAAATACAGCAGAGAGAGCATGGTTTAATGGCTATAGCCTGAGTTCATGAATAGATCCAGCCATTGTATCAGGGGATGTTTCCTGTCCAGTCCTCTTTATAGCCGGGTATTGAAAGATCTATGTACAATAGAGTCAGCCAGATACATCTATGACTACCTAACATAAAGAGTTGCCTTTCTCCCATGCATCTACCTGATCTATCTTGTTGATTTGTGATTAAGATGACCGCTTAGTCGTTTGTTGCTTCACTATAAAAGAAGTAGAAAAGTGAGCTCCCACAAATAAACAACTTCCCACTTCAACAAACCAAAAATAACTGCAACATCTACAATCACCTACTCCAGAAGTAGTGCTACAAACTGACTTTATCTGCTTTTAGTTTACATCTTCACCCTTATCCTCCTCCCTTTACTGCTCTTCCTCTCTGATCTAGATATTCACGTGACTGTCACTGTGGGCACTTTTCGGAACGGAAGAAATCATGTCCCGGAACCTTCGCTCACATTTTGATGAAGATGCAGGTAAGAAAAGATTGGAAGAAGAAGAAAACAAAAACATCCTCAGCTTCAGCTGCAGCTGCATCCTGAACGCGATATCTGACTCGAAAACCGACTTGTCAATCGTTTAGGATCTGAGTCTGACACGCCTATCTCGCCCGCCCTCATCCGCCAACGCCGCGCGAGCCGTCATCGCAGGAACAGGACCTCAGTTACCAACGAAGACCTGATCAGCTTCCGCGAGAAGATACTCGGTATCCCACGCTCAGAGCAGCCTGCTATCCCCCGTCCTGAGCCCAAGGAAGAGGAAGAGGATTTTTCTGCCATCAACGCTGCTATTGCAGCTTTCAGCATGTCTGTGAACCAAGGCAGCCCAAGCATAGCTAATAATACGAACGCCAACAACACTTCCTCTGCCGCTGCTTCGTCTAGCTCCGCCAGTGGAGCGTCTACTTCAGGCTTGTTCACCAACCTCTTTGACTCGAGCAACACCGCGAACGCGTCTGGTAACTCTCCAGGCATGTCTGCTCCTCGTCATAGCAACTCTGCTCCCCCCAGCCCCGCCATGATGAATGGTACTCCAGCAATGCCAGCGATGAACGCCTCTTTCCCAATGAACGCTGGACACCAGATGGATCTTAACCACCTCTATGCTATGGTGAATGAACTGAGCGAGGTCCTGAAAAACAACCGTGACTTGACCAGTGGCATTATCAAGAGTGCTGAAGATATTGCTGTATGTCCTCTTCTCACCCTCCCTTTGGTAAAACAGAATAGATGCTAACTTGAAATTATATAGCGTCGTGCTGCAGCTGAAGGAACCACACCAAACTTGCAAGAAGTCAATGGGGAAATCTCTGGTATGAGCTATATATTACGTTGTTAACAAGTGCAGTACAGCAACTAACACGTTGAATAGCCACACGCATTGCCGAACTTGAGCGTGCCCTAGCCAGAGAAAAACGTCGCGTTGAGACACTCCGCCATGAGCAGGTTGAGAACATGAAGTTGATCGCCGAATACGAGAACGCGGTTGGTACTATGGTCGAGCAGATCCGCAATTATTGCTGCAACAACGAAGGTCATTTTCTCTCCCAGAAACGCCGCTACAATGACCTCCTGCAAGCCGAACGAGATGCGCACCTGGCATCCCGCCTAGACCGTGACTATTGGCACGCGCAGACCATGAAGTGCGCCGAGATGATCCGAACTGCCTACCGTCTGCGGTGCGAGGAGGAAGAGCTACCTCTTCGCATCGTGGCTGGGCTGCAGAATGAAGTGCGTGCCTACCGCAACGCCCTGGGCATGGACCCAGAGAAGCCAGAGGAGGAGTGGGGATGGGAGATCCTTAAGGATGCTCCCCCAGGCGTCGAGTAGCCTGGGAGCTCGAATTGCCCTCCCCCTCCGTCCGGGCGTGGGTTCTTCCCTCTTCCTTTTCGTTTTTTCCTTTGTTACCCGGCAGTTTGGCCGGAGGCGTTAGGGGCGCTATGAAGATACCCATGGGGTCACGATAGAGAAATCCTTTTTTCCCGGGCATGGCGTTAGGTTTCCTGGAGGGAGCTCTGATGATGAATCTAATTTCTTATTCCCAACCTCCTAATGATTGTTTATGCATTGATATTTATCATGGCGAAGAGGAGGAGAATTGATGGCTTTCTGCATTGGCTTCAGAACTAATGATCTTTGTTCGTATTCGTAGATGCATTCGTAGGTGGTAGATGTCTTCGTAGACTGGCGTTGATACGCAAAAGCGCCACACATCATCAACCTCGGCATAACTGAGCTTCGTCCATTTCTACCAGCTTTCTCCGGCTATTCACTCTCAAAGAAGATACATATGCCCTCGCTATAAAAGAAACGGAGTGAGCCGCTGGCCGGTGACACTTTGATGCCAAACACGATGGAGAAACGACCGAGAGCCCTTCTCTTTGACGTTGGCGGCGTTTGCGTATGGCTTTAGGCTATCCTACTCCTGGTGCAAAAGGGCTCAAAAGCTAACCAGAGAGACTGCAGGTTATATCCCCGTTCCAGGCAATTTTGGACTACGAGAAGGCCAACAAGATACCTATTGGATGGATCAATTACAGTATACAGCATACCTCGCCTGACGGGGCATGGCACCGACTGGAGCGAGGCGAAGTTCCTCTGGACGCGGCCTGGTTCAAGTCGTTCAACAGTGACTTCCGCCATCTTCACCTATGGAAGAAGTTCCTCGAGCAGTCATCTACTCGGCCTGCCGGGGAGAATGACAAGAAGATTCCTGATATGCCGAGTGTAGATGCAGAGTATCTGTACTGGGAGATGATGCGAGTTGCCCAAAGCCCCGATCCATACATGTTTCCCGCACTACAGAAATTCAAGGACTCCGGGCTGTTCATTATGGGTGCTTTATCAAATACCACTATCATACCCGAGGAGACAAGCAAGCTTGACAAGACGTCTGACCATGCAGGCGAGCAAGTGAAGCGATTCTTCGACTTTTTCATCTCCAGCGCGCACACGGGGTTGCGCAAACCGGACCCGAGAATCTACGAGCTTGCCTTACGGGAGATTAATGATGCTAGGAAGGCTAAGGGGATAGGAGGAGGGGATATTCGGGCGGAAGAGGTGGTATTTTTGGACGATATCGGGGTGAATCTGAAGTGGGCGAGGAAGGCTGGGATGGGCACGATCAAGGTCGATTTGGGGCGCACAAGAGAGGCAGTGAAAGAGCTGGAGAGACGAACGGGCTTGACTTTACTGGAAAGCAAGCCGATGATATAGAATAGGGGCTCATGATCAGTTATTCATTGATATATGTTGATGGAAGATCTATAGGAGTGTAGTATCTAGAAGGACAGCTCGATAGTCCGCAATCAACCACCGAAAGATACAAGATTATCTGAATGGGCATATCGGTAAAACAGCAACCGAGATCTGAATCCTAGTCGTGAATAATAACAATATCTGATGCTGGTGTGTCAATTGATGCTATACGATGCCTCGTCGTCGCCAACCCAGCTTTTTTGGCTGCTGCAAATTTGCCGAAGAAAACCCCACAAATAAATTTCTTCGCACACAAAAAAAGCGACCGACGAACTTCCTGCAACCCACGCCAGCAACAGAAGACCAGCAGCACCAGCAGCAACGCCGTTGAGCAGCCGTCAAGATGGTAAGTGTCTGCTTCAGAGGTCCTTGACTCTCTTCTCGTCGTCGAGTCGCTGGAGTCCTGCAAGATGCTTCGGAGACGACCAGTCTGAAGCGCAAATTGCTGACTCGCGATGTTCTTTACAGCCTTTCACCAAGCTTGTCAAGAACCGCCCATACTTCAGGTAAGTCATTGACGCCCGGGATGATGATGATAAGAAGAAGAGGAAGAAGAAGAAGAAGAGCTAATTGTCTCTGTACAGTCGCTTCCAGACGAAGTTCAAGCGCCGTCGCCAGGGCAAGACCGACTACTACGCCCGCAAGCGTCTCATCACCCAGGCTAAGAACAAGTACAACTCGCCCAAGTACCGCCTGGTCGTCCGCTTCACCAACCGCGACATCATCACCCAGATCGTCACCGCTGAGATCTCCGGCGACAAGGTCCTTGCCTGCGCCTACTCCCACGAGCTCAAGCGCTATGGCATCAAGAACGGCCTTACCAACTGGTCTGCCGCCTACGCCACTGGTCTCCTGCTTGCCCGCCGCACCCTGAAGAAGCTCGGCCTGGACGAGGACTTCACCGGTGTCGAGGAGCCAGATGGTGAGTTCACCCTGACCGAGGCCGCCGAGACCGACGAGGGTACCCGCCGCCCCTTCAAGGCCGTCCTCGACGTCGGTCTTCACCGTACCTCCACCGGTGCCCGTGTCTTCGCTGCCATGAAGGGTGCCTCTGACGGTGGTATCTTCGTGCCCCACTCCGAGAGCCGCTTCCCCGGCTACGACATCGAGAGCAAGGAGCTCGACACCGAGACTCTGCGCAAGTACATCTTCGGCGGTCACGTTGCCGAGTACATGGAGGGTCTTGCCGACGACGACGAGGAGCGCTACCAGGGCCAGTTCTGCAAGTACCTTGAGAACGACCTCGATGCCGGCGAGCTCGAGGAGATGTACGCCAACGCCCACGCCGCCATCCGCGAGGACCCCTTCAAGAAGGACGAGGATGCTGGCCCCAAGAAGAGCAAGGAGGAGTGGAAGGCCGAGAGCTTGAAGTACAAGACCCCCAAGCTCTCCCGAGAGGAGAAGAGAGCCCGCGTCGAGGCAAAGATCCGCGAGCTTGCATAGACGTCTTCCTCTTTCTTTCACCACCACTCTTCACCCTTTCACCCTGACCATCGTGTGTTAGAAACCAAAACAAAATACAAATGGGAAAATGCATCTGGTGTTGAGTGTATTTTAATCCTTTTTCATCTTTTTTTTTTTACGGTGTTTTGCTCTACTTCTTATGACCTGGCCGGCGGAATGGGAATAATGACATTGATCTTCTTTACTATGACCAGCCATGGAATAAGACTGTATCTCACGTAGACTCTTCTTCTTCTTCTTCACTTCTGCTTTTTACTTTTATATAATTGTTCTTCCTCGCCGCCGCAACCGGCAAGTCACGCGATCTCCGTACTTTTCCCAAAGTGGATACTTTGACGACATCCTCGCAACGTCGACTTCGCGACTTCATCGTCACAAACCAGCAGGCAAAGGCAGAAGACGACGGCCAGCAAGCCACGAACCCGAACACATCAGCTCGAGCCGGCGCAATTAAGGACAGGGAAGATGCTGCTATAGCCTCCCCGGCTCTCCGCCCGCCATCGCCATCCGGCCTCTCATTTCCCCCACAGCGAACGAACGCCAGGGCAGGTCACTCACGAGTTACTGCTGGCCACAATACTCCGTACGCCAGCCGAGAAGAAGAGACACATCCATCTCATCCTGTGGAGGGAAAAAGAAAGGAGATGCAGCCCGGAGCGGACAAGACCCGTCTCCCACCGGCACAAGCGAAAGCGATTAAACTTAGGCTAACTGCCATGCCAGCAGAAGAAGAAACTTTTGCATCAGCCGCTTTGTAATCCTGGCCGTCGTTCTGGGTTCTGCGGGAAGAAAAGCGAGATACATAAAACCAGCCCTGCTACGGGGTACACTTTTTTCCCACTCATTTCTCGCCGCCAGCTGGAGGACACAAGCGCAGCACAGTCACATATATACGCTCGCACAGCACTCCCGCCTTCACACTGCTATCTCTTGCTTGATGGCTCTGGACGCTGCAATCGGCTTGTTTCATTCACAATGACCTGCCATTCCCTCCCTCGTCCGTCCTTGGAAGATTCCCGCCGGAAACCGCTGTAAGAGAAATCCGCCGTATACACACACGACACCGACTTCTCGCTCGTCTCTTGCTCGATTTCGCGACATATCTCCGCCTTTCACTGCGCAATCCATCAATTTTCCGGGCAGGTTTCTTTCCATTTTTTTGTTTTTTTTCTTCCCTTTTTTTGTCGCTGCGTCTTTTGTTCCTTGGAAAGGCGACCTACGATCGTGTGTACTCGGTAGACTTCGACAATATTCGCCTCCCGTTTATTCCAGCGCAAACAGACGGACCAGCTGGCCGACTCTTTAGGGATTTGGGGGCTTTTATCACTCCACGCATCGTTGCGAACATTCGCTTCAATACACAATGGAAGGCGGTGCTGAAGCCGTAGATGTGAGCTGGCTCCATCATTCGCAGCGGGGTATGTTTATACTCTTTTTCTAATCGGGACTTGGTGAGAAGTAGTTATGTGATATGAGGTCATCTCTGACAGTGCTGTATAGCTGATACTGCCGGTCGATCCAAAAATACGCCCTCAAGGTCTTCTCAGCAGAAGTTAAATGAGCAGCAACCTGGGACCGACAGCACTGCTACTCAAAACGACGCGACAGCCAGCACTACTAATGGACAGAATGGACAAGCGTCAGCTTCGGCTCCAAAGCCGGTGCCAACATCATCATTATCCAAACCATTGCCGTTACCCTCTGAAAGCGCAGAGAACGAAACCTCAAAACAACAGTCGCTATCTCCACCAAACCAAAATCAAAATCAGATCCAAGCCCAGGCCCAGGGCCAGGGCACTGGCCCGGAATATACGCCTGCCCCAAACATCACCACAAGCGCCATCGCTCTTACGGGCACAACCCAAACTACGGTCACCAGCACAAATGCGAGTACCAGAACACCGCCAAAGCCCGTACCTCGGCGAAACTCTTGGATTTCCACTCTAAGCTCCAAGTTCTCCTCTGGCTCTACACCTCCGTCTCAGAGCCACATGAGAGAGTCGCCGTCAACCGGCCGGCAACAACAACCATCTGACTCGATAAATCCCTTCGGTGCTGCATACTCTCCGAAAGATGCTGATAAATCGGGGGAAGGTTCCAGCTCCTTCACAAGCGGCTCTCCAAGGAGCGGCCACCCCTCGTTCTTCCACAACGCATTCCGAAAACTGTCTTCATCGGGAGGAGCTAGCCTGGGCAAGCTGTCCTCTAACTACGCCCCAAATGGCGGGGTGTGGCCAAGGCGAGTAATGAATGTTGATGCGGACCGGGATCGTTGTAAGATTCCAGAACTCAACCAAGCAAAACTGCGACGTGTGGCGTTTTGCGTGGATGTTGAGATTGCAGGGACTCAAAGGAGGTCTGAAGGTGACGAGGAACGCAGCACCAAGAAAAAACCCGACCCCAAGGCAGTGGAGGCCGAAGAAGGCACTGTGCTAAAACATGCAGCGGGACATGCACCTCTGCCGACGTCATCACCACCTTCGGATGCCCCTGTAAGTAATGGTGCTGTGCAGCCTCCAGACTCGCATCCAATCGATGACGAGAAATCCAAGCCACCGCCAACGAAGAAGCAGGAGAAGAAAAAGCGCTCGGAAGAGGAACGCAAGGAGCGGAAGGAGAAGAAGAGAAGACAAGCCGAGGAAAATGGCTCGATTCCCTTGCAGGTCAACCTCGAAGGTGGAAGCAATAGTACTTCCAAAACAAACTCCATCCGTCGGTCATCGCGCGGTCAAGACCAGCCTACCACAGATCCTCTACGAATATACCGGCGATGCTGCCAACTTCGAGAAACGGGCGTGTTGAAGAAGTTAGTCGAACAGATCTCCTCGCCGTCTTCAATCTTGGCCGAGTCACCCGGTACTGTTGCGGTCCTGGACTTGACTGGCTTCCCCATGACTTTGACCGACATCATCACCTTCAGTGATTGGCTTTCCATTGTCCCAGTACGGAAACTGATATTACAGGACTGTGGCCTGTCTGATGAAGCAGTCAGGGTGATCCTCGGCGGTCTACTCGCTACCAAGACCATCGAGGCTGCCAGACAAGCCCGGCAGTTGAAGCACAGGAATGTTGGGTCTGAGCTGGCAAAGGAAATTCGATACGGAGCTATAGAAAAACTGTCACTAAAGGGGAACTCGAAAATCGGCCCCGAGGGATGGCGACATATAAGTCTTTTCATACACATGTCTCGCTCACTCAGGGGTATTGACTTGTCTGGCATACCCTTACCCCGTCCCACACCCCCTACCAATGGTCCAGCGTCACCCATCAGCAGGCCTTCTAAGCCCGTACCCGATATCGGTACCATATTCGCAAATGCCCTTGCACAACGCTTTGGAGGTGAGCGGCTTGAAGAACTCGTTCTTAGTGAATGCTCTCCATCGACCGAAGATGTGCAGAAAATAAGCGATGCAGCCAGATCTATGGGACTACGGCGACTAGGCCTAGCTAATAACGACCTCACCAAGGAGGGACTCGAATATGTCATCAACTACTTCCAGGGTGGTAAATGTGAAGGCCTTGATCTAGGTGGCAACAAGCTGGAAGCTCACATTGGTCTTTTCTCATCTGCTCTTGACAAGACTTTCCCTCTAAGTGCCTTAAGCTTAGCGGATTGCTCCTTGACGCCTAAAACTCTCTGCTCACTCATGCAGGGACTGACCCTGTTACCCAACTTCCGCTTTATCGATCTATCGCACAACAAAGACCTATTCATCACACAGCCTGACTCATTGGGGATTCTACGAAGATACCTCCCGCAGATGAAGGAGCTAAGACGAATACATCTTGCAGACGTCTGTCTTAGTTCAGAGCATGCTATTGCTCTCGCTGAGATCCTTCCCGACTGTCCTAAACTTTGCCATATCAATATCCTTGAGAACCCGGCTATCCAGGACCTGGCGTCTGCAAGCACCCCTGAAGCTCAGGAGGAGGCTTGTGCGCTATATGCGTCGTTTATGTCGGCAGCCCGCATATCTCGGAATATTATCGCCGTTGATATCGATGTTCCAACTCCCGAGAATAACGAGGTTGTCAAGGCCCTTGCTTCTCAGATAGTGGCTTATTCCCTACGCAACCTCCAATATGGCGAGTTGAAGGAGGAGCTATCATCGTCGGCCGATACCCAGGCTGCTGTAAAGGATGTTCCTGTTCCCGATATCCTGGAACATCTCGTTGGCCACGCTGACGATGCAAACGGGGAGATTGATGACTCCAAAGTTACTTCAGACTATGACTATGTCATTGGTGGTACTGGAGTTGTCAAGGCGCTAGGAATCTGTCTGGGTAATTCCGATTACACCGCTGTCGAAGATGTTCTGGGCGACCAGTCTCCAACTGCTAGTGGCACTTCTACACCATATCGTCGCCTTAGTCATGTTCGCGTGACCAAGAAACCTCGTGATATGTCAAGAGATCTACTCAACTCTGCGAGGAAGATCCGGCTTCGGCTGCGGCCTGCTTTGGTCCGTGAGGACCGGGCAGGTAATGATCTAAACTACCGTATGCATTTTACTCTTTTTGCTTGCATTTGACAACAATGAAGGAATGTAACTGACCTACCGTAAATAGGCCGACTCCACTTTCTCGACATGACACTTCAACGAATGATTCAACGTTTCGAGGATGAGTTCCCGGATACCCGCATACCCGATGAGACCTCCACAACCCGCTCAAGTGATGGTTCTCCTAATCTATCTAACGTTAATGATTCTACTATCCTTGAACCGGTTGGTTCATCCGCCAACGGCAATACAACGGCTGAAGCAGATGGTGAAGACGAGGATGTAGATCGATACGCTGTTCGTCTCTCCCGGACTAGTTCGAACACATCCCTCCACTCTCGCGCACTTACCTCTGAAGAAGGGAAAGTCCACCGTCTCAGTCACCATTTCAGTCATTCGCTACTCGGTCGCTCAGACAAGGACAAGAGCAAGGATGCAGACCAGGAGTCCTCGGAGAAACCAATCTCCCAGTCACCTCCAGATGCAGTGCAAGTTCAAGCTCTCCGCGAGAAACTTGAACGTCTTCGTGCTCTTCAAGGCGAGGACACCGATACAAACGTCCACAGTGAAGACCCGTCCTCATCATCCCGTCCCATACTCCATGATGGCGCTTCCAACCTGGAAGAATTGCTTACCCTACAGAAACAAGACCCTGAGGCCTTCGCAGAACTTAAGGAAAGCCATATCGTGGCACTTATAAACGCAGGCCTAAGAAATCCGGATGATGCATGAATACCTATTCATTTTACATTTTGAATTCGCTCTTCATTGACGATTACGCGGAACTGCAAAGTTACTTCCATGATATTCTTTTCTTTTTTCCTTGGTATTTTAGCACATAAGTATGCATCTTGACTCTGGCACTGCCGAAACTATACCTTCTGTACCAATTTTGACTATTCTCCTACTCATCGTTCAATATCCCCTTCTAGCGAATTTATTTAATATATCCTCTCCTTTCCTCTACTCTTTACCAAGCAAGCATTCCTTATTGACGACTTCCCATTTATACCTTCGATGTATTTACCATATCTTACCGCACATGTTTTTTTTTTTTTTTTTTTTTTTGGTTTTAGCGAGGACGTGGATGGTTTTTCCCACAGGCGCATACATGCATGCAACAACTGGATTATGGACATCTTTTCTTGCATTCATTCTTTCCTCTTGCTCTTCCGATAGGATAGCTAGGCCTAACTATGCAGTCAGCAGTCCAAACTCAAACCGTTTGTTTTTCTGTCTCCAGTTACGGGTGGTTGCTTTCTGTCTGGACTGATTCTTGTGAGACGGTTGAGCTGAACGTGGTATTGAAGGACATACATTCCCAAAGAAAGCCTGGCAGTACTCAGTATATACAATAATTATCTATCGTCGAACTTGACTCTTCGTCTCGTCTCGTCTTCCATCTTCCATCTTGCTCTCGCTCAGTCTCCGTCTCCTCCATCTTCTCTCCCTTTTGAGCGGATTTTTCGGTGTTAATCACATGTCAGCGCGGCGCACCCCGGTCATGTGACTTCGGCTTTGCCAACCGCGATGATTTCGACAAGGCCGAAGACGACGACGAGTTGAAGATGAAAACAAGACAACCCGGGAGTTTTTGGACGTTGGGAGTTGAGCATACGTGGAGCTAGATGTGTAGGGATAGCAGGATGCCCGATACATGTTTGATCTCCAGCTCACATAGAACGCATTTCCTCGCTAAGGCGGTTGCTTCGGCAAGCCGCTAGTTAATACCCCAGATTGCGGCAACAACACCACCACAAACTACTTCCACCATCATGGCGGTCCTTTCCCACCCGGCAGGACACGGGCTAGAATGGTCAATCAAAGATCTTGTGTCTCTTCTTACCAAGAAATACGTCAAGCACCGCACCGGCATATCTCGCGCAGTTTACCTAACGCTTTTCCTCGCCCTCGCCAAACGAATACACAATGCCATTGCCGAACAAAGGTCTGCCTCTGAGATCCAGGCTGGAAACAGAGCCGGCACTCGAAAGTTGAATGGGGAAGATAGCACAGGTGCAGGAGGCGATGGCGGTGGTCCGCCTCGGAAAAGAGTTGGTCTAAATCGAGAGTTTCTGCGGAATTTACTGCGGCTGTTGAAGATCGTGATACCGGGATGGAAGAGCAAGGAGCTCCGACTACTGATAAGCCATTCGATATTCCTTGTTTTGAGGACGTTGTTAAGTTTATATGTTGCGGAGCTGGATGGAAAACTCGTCAGCAGCTTGGTTAGAGGCAAAGGCAGGGAGTTCCTCCTTTCTCTGGCCTGGTGGATGACTGTAGCGGTACCGGCTACCTTTACCAATTCAATGGTAAGTGTCTTACGTTTAAAGTGGACTTTGATTCGCATTTATAGACTTGAGCTTGGTTGTTCCCTTGCTAACCTGCTTGTGATGATAGCTTTCGTACCACCAATGCCAGCTGGCCCTTCAGTACCGGAAACGCCTGACTGACTACATTCATAACCAATACTTGTCAAACATGAACTTTTATGCGTTATCCGCGCTGGATGACCGGATCAAGAACCCAGACCAGCTTATTACTGTGGATATATCGCGGTTCTCCAACAGCTTGGCGGAGTTATACTCTAACCTTGCCAAACCGATTCTTGATATGGCTATTTACAACTACTCTCTCTCCAAAAACGTGGGTGGTGAGGGTCTTTTTATCATGGCACTTTTGGTGCAGCTCTCCGCTAATGCTATGAGAGCCCTTACTCCACCTTTTGGTAAATACGTGGCCGAGGAAGCGAAGCTAGAAGGAGAGTTCCGTTTCCAGCATACGAGGTTAATTGATTATAGCGAAGAGGTCGCTCTATACCACGGCCATGAATCAGAAAGAGATACTCTAGACAAGGGGTATTTCACTCTTATTAAACATGTCAACCGGATCTTGCGAAGGAGACTCTACCATGGCTTCATGGAAGACTTCGTTATCAAATACTTCTGGGGTGCTTTGGGTCTGATATTATGCAGTGTGCCTGTCTTCTTCAAAATCCCTAGCCAAATAACCTCAACCATGGGAGATCGGACCGAGAGCTTCGTGACCAACCGGAGGATACTGCTCTCCTCCTCCGATGCCTTTGGAAGAGTGATGTTCTCATACAAGGAGATTTCCCAGCTTGCCGGACATACTTCTCGTGTGGCTTCTCTCTTGGAGGTAATGGATGACATAACTGCCGGTCGTTTCCAGAAGAAGCTTGTCTCTTCCGTATCAACGGATGCTAATGCCGCTGTTCTTGGAAATCGCGGAACCATCGTTGAAAGTGACTCGATCGAATTCACGGATGTGCCCATCATCTCACCTAATGGAGATGTTTTGGTTGAAAAGCTTACCTTCACTGTCCACCCTGGAGAGCACCTGCTCATCGTTGGACCTAACGGTTGTGGAAAGTCATCTCTTTTCCGTATTCTTGGTGGATTATGGCCTGTATACGGTGGTACAGTTAAGAAGCCGTCCTTCGAAGATATCTTCTATATACCACAGCGCCCATATCTGTCACGAGGAACCCTTCGGCAGCAGGTCATTTATCCTGATGGCCTCAAGGAAATGCATGAAAAGGGGGTCACCGATTCAGACCTCTTCGATATCTTATCCATAGTGGAGATTTCGTCCATCGTCGACAGACCCGGTGGTTGGGATGCCGAAGAAGAGTGGCGAGATGTACTCTCCGGCGGACTACAGCAAAGAATTGCTATGGCTCGATTGTTCTACCATAAGCCAAAATACGCTATTTTAGATGAATGTACTTCCTCGGTCACACTGGAGATCGAAAAGGTCATGTACGAGACTGCTAAGGAACTTGGTGTCACCTTGATGACAGTTTCCCACAGGAGGAGTCTGTGGAAATACCACAAGAAGATCCTCCAGTTTGACGGCCAGGGGAATTGTATCTTTACCGGCTTGGACTGGGAACGCCGACTGAAGCTTGAAGAGTGAGTTTGGTATAAGCTCTCAACCTTACTAGATTTCCTTACTAACGATGTTTGTTCTTGCTTTCAGTGAGAAGGAAGATATTGATTTACAACTTCGAGCTGTTCCTGAATTAGAACGACGCGTTAAAGAGCTCACCACGGAATAGAGGATCTGGATATAAACAAAAATTTCCTTTGACAATAATTCCTCTTATGTCATCATAAGATTCGCTTTCATTTATGACCCGATGGTGTGCATCCTTTATAGGCATCTATCGCCCTGTGGCAGGAGCAAGGCTTCAACGCTATATACCCATTTTGAATATATCACCCTTTTTTGATTCCCTCGCTATATTTATTGACCATATTGCATCTCACACCGGGGTTCAGCTTATGAATTTTGGACTGTACAAATTTACCTGTGAATTATACCAATTTAAATAAAACAACAATTTTGGTATGCATCCATTACTATCTCGCAAATAATACAAACCCCAATGATGATGCCCAGTTTAAATACTCAAAAATGACCCTGTCAATCAAACTTATCCAACGTTCTATAACTACTCAGTCAGAACTGTGGTCACTTTGGCGTAACCCTCAATGACGTTTTTACCCTCCGGCAGGCCCGGGCCGAATTCCCTATCGACTCGAATATTGTCAAACGTGGTGTTATGCAGATCCATATCGAATCTGCGGACCATGGTGGCAAACATATGATACAGCTCGATATATGCGAGGCTAATAAAAATGAGAAAAGAACATCAGCAGGTGGTACATAACGGTTTTACAAACGGGTAGAGAGGAAAACTCACTTCATCCCAAGGCAGATCCTGTTTCCCTTTGTGAATGAGACATTATATCTGGACAGCCGTTCACCCTTCTCTGTAGCTCGAATCCAGCGCTCAGGGTCGAATCTTTGTGGATCAGGGAATATCTTTGGATCAAGATGGATGAAGTATGATATCATGCTTACAGGCGTCTGCATAGGACGAGGTCAGTTATATCAATCAATTTCCAATGGAGTAAATAACAGTGGTAATTTTTTTTTGGAAGACTTACGCCTGGGGGGATCACATATTCTCCATATGCCAGGCTTTGGTCCTTTGCAATCCGCGGGAGCCTCATGACCAAAGTATGAGACAGACGAAGTGACTCATTGATAACTCCGTTCTAAACGGCCCGTTAGTGATATGTTCAAATGGTATTCATCATAGAAGAGTAAAAGCGTACGAGGTAGGGCAATTTTTCAAGCTGTGCCCAAGTGATAGGACTGTCTGGTTTTGGCATCACTTCCTTTAATTCCTGGCGTAATTTATGCAAAACTGATTCGTCGTGGTATAGATAGTAGGTGCCTACGGTCAACGTTCTAGCCGTTGTTTCTGTGCCCGCAGCAAGGACACCCAATCCTTCCTCCGTCAGTCGTTCAATCTCCTTCTCTTTATCCGGCACTGCAGGGTCACAGAGGGCATGGAAAATGTTCCGATCAGCTCCATCTGGAGATTTGTATCCTGGACGATGGGTTTCTTTTAGCATGGCCAATGACTGGTCTCTCACTAGATTTCTCATGCTGAAAAACCCAACAGCCTGCGGTTGTACAGCCTGCAGCCATGCTTCAGGTATAACCTTGACCACACCCATCATGCCAGGGAGGAAGGTGAAGATATGTGATAGGTTACTGGCAACATTCCCGAAATCCCTAAAGTCATTTTGATAGTCCTTGTTTTCCAAGTAGTCCACACTTTGGCCATATGAATATTTTGAGATAATATCTGCAGTCACTGCAGCAAATACCTTATCAAAAGGGACAAGTTCGTTCTGGTTAAAGGCCTCTTCGATGCGTTCTGCGGCACGGTTGACTTTCTCCAGAACCATAGGCTCGAGGCTGGTCACGGCTCGTTTAGAGAAGAAAGAGTTTAGAAGGCCCCGGCGGAAACGATGATGGTCATGATCAAGAGTCGTGATCATAGAATGTGTCATGCCATAAGCAGAGACGGCATGGAAGTCCTTCTCTTGTTTCCGAGAACTGTATACCTCGGCGTAGTAGTCGGGGTCTTTGATATGAAGTTCTCGGTGGTTGACACGTACAATAGGGCCTGTATAACAATGATTAGATGGTTAACAAAGAGATAATACCGTATAATCCGAGAGAATAACTTATGCTCACCGTACTGTTCGTGCATGCGCTGTATTTCCCATATATACATGCCGCCCTTGACTATGTCGAAATAAAACTCGTAGAAACGACCAGCAGCTGCAATTTTTGGGCCAGGGAACTTGCTCAAAGGGTGGAAATATAGACGATAAATTGTCTGGACGATGAAGTAGCCCAGCAGGGCCACTAAAGCTGTCGTCAACATACTCACGGGTTCCATTAGGAGCATGCTGCTGGCAGAAACTCGACGATAACTATCGAGCTATCAATTCATCCAGTGCAATTGTCGACATCCAGGAGCAAAATAAAAACAAACCCCGCCTGAATATTTATATCTCTTCAACTGTAGAAAAAAGCAAGCCACCGACGGGCTCGCGGCTTAAAAGTCGCCGAACGCCCGTTCTAGGCGGCACAACAGGCAGCAGTTGTTGTTGCTGAAGGATGAGGCGAAACAGTAGTGAGTTAGTGAACAAGGTTCAGGGGCAGCCTTAACTTGTCAGTTAACTCTGGGGACCAAATGTGAAGTAGTGCTCAGTGGGGGTGGGTTTCTTCTCGTTTCCAAACTGACTGATTTCTTTAACTACAGCTCCGGACTTATGAGAGAAGTTTGTGAAAGCGCAATATTAGAAGGAAATATAGATTTGAATTATTCTCCATGTCCATGTGTTCCGAGCTAGCCAACCCCCACCAAAAGACATCACACTCCAATACAGTGATACTCCTGGATAATTGAGAAAAAAAATTTAAGAAGCAAATAAAATGGCAAGCCGTGGGACCATGTAAGAAGATATCATCTATGAAAGTATTCATTTTGCCTCTGTTCATTTCACTAGGACACTGCTCACCGATTACTAGCCCCCTGCGTGTCCATGTACCGCGGGACAGGGGAGTGACCAAATCACGGACAAGTTCCCATGGATAATTGGACGGACTTTTTCTTTGTGGCCTTGCTAGACAAAGCTATGCTATTCGCTTCAAACTCTATCGAATCGACAGATTCATGGATATTCAGTAGGCCCCTTTCGTTGAGCTCATGGACGGCCTCCTTAAGCCAAACTCGACAGGTGATGTTCTCCTTAAAGCGGGTGGAATACTCGATAGGGATCTCCATGAGGCATTGCCCTAGCATCTCATGCAACATCGGCTCAATGATTCCGATCTTCAGGGCACCAAGGAGTTTATTGGACTGAAGCACATTGCTGCTCTCTTTGACTTCTAATCGCCAGTCAGTCGAGGGCGTGTCATTGACGAGATGGTATACGATGCCAGATGTTTTTGTTTTGGCAAGGTAGAGACCCCAGTGGAATCGCCAACTATCCCCACGATCTGAAAGCAGGATATAAAATCCATTTTCGTCGAACTCGAGATCCATATTTGAAGGTATTGAGCGAAGTGTTTCGTATATGTATTGAACTATTTTGTTATGGAGTTCTCCCGCTTCTGTCTTATCAAAAGAAGTGAATAGAAACAAGTATAAAGGGGGTATATGTAGATGGGATGCCGTGAGAATATATACTGTCGACGAAGTACCCCCCGGTGGAGGGGGATTCTGGGAATGGCCCTGAGCCCCCGTCAAAACGATCAGCCCCAGCACCCTCCATCTCCAAAATTCAAGGGAACGCAGATACGAGGTCTAGCACAAACGCATTATGCATGCCACCAGCCAATTGTGTTCTTTTCCAGGACCCCAAGATTGAGCTCAATGCAGACCCCTGGAGAACTAAAACCAGGTGCATAGTAACGGAGAAACCACAGAAATTCTTCCCTCAAAACCCCGAGAGGCCCGAGCCTCGCATGCCGAAGAGTACTCCGTATGGCCTTTATTCTAATAGTTATATTTGGTACGGAGTACGGAGGAGTTGAAACCGTTTCCGTGACTATCGTTTGGTGGTGTAGTTAGCTATTTAAGTTACGGAGGTGCCAAGCCAAAGTGAAGCTTTAAGTTCATAACTAATCGAATATGGTTAGCGTCTACATATTGACCAATAAAACTAATAGAATTCCCGCATAGTCCCCGGTTGATCACGATTAGTAAATTACTCAGCAGAGTTTCCAAATCACGTGCTATCGAGATTAGGTTCAGGCCTTTTTATGGTTGAGACTCACCTTAGGACGACCTCAACGCTTGATATTAACAGCAAGCCAGGCCGAGCAATGTTTTTTTTTTTGGCTCGGTTACAGGCTGTCATTGGTGACAGGCAAAAGCAATGGAGTCTGCGGAGGACGTTGTTGCAACTGCTCTTGACACTGTAAAATCTGCTGCTTTAACTCCCACTGAGCACTTGCTGTTGAAACGATTCTTGGATAAGGCCCAAGACTCGAGCTGTGCAGCTATATACCTCCTGCGAAAGGTGGAAGAGAACCCAAGCCGCAGCGTTGAAGCAAACCTACGTGAATTCAAGAAAGACTGGAGGCGATTGGTCACTAAATGTAAAGCTCCGGTGGATAATACTATTCAGATTAGAAGCTAACTATGGTGCTTGAAGTCACAAAACAAGAGGATATACCATTACCATCGCAATGTCTCCTAAAAAGCCGGGATATGCAGAATTGCTGTTGCATGGTCAACCGTCGTGGACGTCTCGCTGCGAATGCAACATTTAATGTTGAACCCGCATGGATTATACCCCCTTCAATCTTCCATGACGATGAATTGGCATATGAGGTGGGTAGCCCTCACCGCTGTCGGGTCCTTGGAATACTCTCGTCTAACAAGAAGTGACGGTATCTTCAGAGCCCACTGCTTTCGATTTTGGAAGCCTTCTTAACCCCTGATGTAGTTCGTTGGCTACGGGGCATGCTAGAAAGTTGTACCGAGCCAAAGAATGCACTACAGAATCTATTGCTCCTGTCACCCTCGGTCCAGTCCGCTTTTCGAGAAGGTCATCTAGAGATTACGAGGGGGTTAGGCCCTGTTCCACCGAAGAAGATAGAGCCAGATGCGAAAAGCGTTCATGTTTGTCCTACCAGCCTATCATTAATCGAGTATCTTGGGTAATGGCTTGATACTAAGAGACTGATATCTAGTATTTGGCGATCGCCCTTGCACCCGGAGAACGCCCTGATCTTACCCTTAGCAATGGAGAGCCATTGAAAGACGGCCCCCATATGTTCACAATGTACACCCGGAACCCTTCATTATACCCCTTGCCTAGTGAGGAGTTACTCCAGATACATTCCAAGATTGCTACTGCATTACATCTTTTCTCTGTTGAAGATGATATTTCTCTCGGCTGGCTGCGATCACCTTACAGTAAGATTCACAATTAAAATTCAACGTTATAAGGGAGATTGAGAACGATCAGCTAATACACCAGGATAATAATAGTTTCTCTAAGCAAGACAGTCTGCCAGTATATTCGCAGCTGCTGGCACTTTGTACCCAAACCAATCCGGGTATGGTGCTACCTTTTTCTAGCTCAGATTAGCAAACGATTCTACCCGTATCGGGGTTCGTTAGTACAGCAACTTCCATTCGGACTATACATGAAGAACTGTCACCGGGCTCGATATAACGAAGTAAAAGCCCTTCAGATCGTTGAACAGCACACATCGATACCCGCCCCGCTATTCATAGACACATTCGGACATCAGGGAAAAGTCATGCTGGTAATGACTCGGGTGAGAGGCCAGCAATTGCAGGAGGTATTCTACCGGCTATCGTACCCGGAACGCGCACAGCTCTCAGCAGACCTGCACTCAGCCATCAAACAACTCCGAGCAATCCCAAACACCACCCCCCACCGCTTTGCTAACGTTCTAGGCGGTCCACTTCTGGATGTACGCCTACCGGACTCTCACGACCGGGCGCGTGGGCCCTTTGACAACGAGTTGGATTTCCACGACGCGCTGATCCACAAGTTTATCTTTGCCGAGACGAAACAGGCTGTTGCTCACGTTCACTCCCGATCGTATCGGTCGTTCTTCTCGCATGCTGATTTGAACTTTTATAATATCATTATTGAGCGTGGGAAGTTGTCTGGTATCGTGGACTGGGAGTGTGCGGGATATTATCCTGAATACTGGGAGTTTACGAAGGGGATATATATTATAGAGGGAGCGGCGGATAGGGAGAAGATTATACGAGATGCGTTTCCGGATGAAGATTACCAGGATGAGCTTGAGGCTGAAAAGGTGTTGTGGTTCGCTGCGCCGCCGTGGGTCTAGCTGGCTTCTTGACTCGGGAGTTTGAATATCAATTGAGATAGATCAAATTAACTGCTATTTGCTATTCTGTCTGTGCTTGCTATAACAAGCACTGCTCTGTATCTGGGAACAATTTTACCACGAAAAAAACAACGACAAATTAGAGATCAACAAGATAAAGGAAAATCATCATCCTCCCCCTTTTCACTTCCTTTCATCACATCACATCACATGTTCAAGTAAGTAATTTTACTTGGTAACGTCCAAAGGCTCGATGTTCCAAATACCCTCGGCATACTCGGCAATAGAACGATCAGACGAGAAGAAACCCATCCTGGCAACGCTCAGAATGCTCTTCTCAACCCATCCGTCCTTGTCCTTGAAGGCCTCGTCAATGATATCATGCGTCTTGACGTAGGAGTTGAAATCGTCGGAGACCAGGTAGTAGTCGCCATGCTGGGTGATCGAGTCGATGATTGCCGAGAAGGAGTTTGCGTCGCCGAAGGTGTTGGCGCGGATGGCGTCGAAGACGGCGGACAGCGAAGGGTCAAGGGTGATGCTTGAGGGGTTGTAGACGTGAGCGTGGCGAAGGTCCTCGACGTCTTCGGCCAGGTTGCCGAACAGGAAGATGTTGTTTTCACCGATTTCGCGGGTGATTTCGATCTAACAGCACAGGTTAGCAATGGATAGGAAAGGTAGAATGAATATAAGGAGACTCACGTTGGCACCGTCGCAGGTTCCGATGATGAGACCGCCGTTAAGGACGAATTTCATGTTACTTGTTCCACTGGCCTCGGTGCCGGCGGTGGAGATGTGCTCGCTGATGTCGGAGGCAGGACAGATGATTTCGGCCTTGCTGACGTTGTAGTCTTCGATGAAGATGACTTTGAGCAAGTCGCCGACGTCTGGGTCGTTGTTGACCACTGCGCCCACGCTGTTGATCAAGTGAATGATCGTCTTGGCCATCCAGTATCCTGGAGCAGCCTTGCCACCGAAGATGGAGACACGAGGGGCCAGCTTGGAGCGTTCCTCGGGGCTCATGGCCTTGATGCGGAGGTAGCGGTGGATGACACCCAGGATGTTAAGCTGCTGACGCTTGTACTCGTGGAAACGCTTGACCTGGATATCGAACAGGGCCTTGGGGTTGACTTTGACGCCCGTGGTTTCGAGGATGTGTTTGGCCAGACGCTCCTTGTTAGCGGTCTTGATGGCAGCCCACTCGGTCTTGAACTCCTTGTCGTCGATGAAGCCTTCCAGCTTGTCGAGCAAGGTGAGGTTCTTGAGGAACTCGTGGCCGCCGAGCTTGGAGGCGATGAGGTCTGAGAGTCTGCGGTTGGCCTGGTGCAGCCAGCGGCGAGGGGTGATGCCGTTGGTGACGTTGCCGAACTTGTCTGGCCCGTAGATGGTGACGAAGTCCTTGAAGATGGTGGACTTGATGAGGTCGGAGTGCAGTTCGGCGACGCCATTGACCTTGTGCGAGCCGATGATGGCGATGTGAGCCATGCGGACCATCTTGGGCTGGGTCTCTTCGATGACGGAGACGCGGCTGAGCAGGTCGTGGTCCTTGGGGAACTTGCGCTCGACGTGCTGCAGGAAGGCCATGTTGATCTCGTAGATGATCTGGAGGTGACGGGGCAGCAGGTTCTGCATCAGCGGGACAGACCACTTCTCCAGTGCCTCGGGGAGGACGGTGTGGTTGGTATAGCCGAAGGTGTTGGAGACGAGACGCCAGGCCTCGTCCCAGTCGAGGCCTTCCTCATCGACTAGGATACGCTGGAGCTCGACAATGGCTAAAGTAGGATGGGTATCATTGAGCTGGATGGCGACCTGGTCGGAGAACTCGCTCCAGGGCCGCTTGGTCTTCTTGTAGCGACGGACGATGTCGAAGAGCGAGGCGGCGCACCAGAAGTACTGCTGCTTCAGACGCAGCTCCTTACCCCTGTCGAGGTTGTCGTTAGGGTATAGCACGGCGGAGATGGTCTCGGCACGCTGCTCGTCTGCGACGGCGCTCTCGTAGTCTCCGGCATTGAAGCGCTGGAAGTCGAATTCACCGCTGGCGGCCTTGGAGGACCAGAGACGCAGGTTGTTTGTGGTGGGCGTCTGGTAGCCCGGGATGGGCATATCGTAGGCGACGGCCTGGACGATCTCGCCGTCCTGCCATGAGTGGACGGTCTTGCCGTTCTCATCCTGGTACTTGCGGACCCATCCGTAGAACTGGATGTCGACGGTGACGTCGTGGCGTGGGAACTCCCAGGGGTTGAAATCGAGCCAGTAGTCTGGAACCTCGATCTGGTACCCGTTGACGATCTCTTGCTTGAAGATGCCGTAGCGGTAGCGCAAGCCGTAGCCCCAGGCCGGGTAATTGAGCGAGGCCAGGCTGTCGAGGAAGCAGGCAGCCAGACGACCGAGGCCTCCATTGCCCAGGGCAGCGTCGTTCTCCTGTTTGATGATGTCCTCGACGCGGAACCCGAGATCGCCCAGCCCATCTAGTTAGTTATGACGTAACATTAGCACTTGACTTAAAAGCAGAGGAACTTGGGGGGCATTTGTTGCTCCATAAGATAAACTCGATAACCGGGATTTGGATACGAGAGAGGGCGCACCTTTGGCGAGGTCCTTCAGGCCGACATTGAGCATGGCATTGTCCAGGGCTCGTCCCATGAGGAACTCCAGCGAGAGATCTCCGTCTATTAGCAGGTGATAATAAATTAAGCCAGAGAGGGGGGCTTACAGTAGACTCTCTTCTGGTCCTTGAAGGTCTGGCGCTGCTGGGTCTTGTTCCACTCGACGACCAGGCGGTCCCTAAAGGCCAGGGCCGTCGCCGAGTAGGCAGCTCTAGTTACCCAGAAGTATCAGCATTCATGGTCTTCTGTTGGTAACTAAGCTAGTTACTCCGCAGTCTTGCATTTGGCCAACGTACACTTCGTCACAGTTGAAGATGGAGCGGGCCAAGCTGGTCTCGACATGGCGGACGACCTCGGACTGCAGCAACTAGTCAGTAGAATATCCCCAAGCAAAAGACAGCCAGGGCCAACCAACCTCGAACTCCTCCTTGGTCTCGAATTCCTTGGGGGCCTATTCCCGTCAATTTAGTCGGTTAGTTAGGAACTTGGTAGTTAACCAGCTGGTCAGATGGTGTATTCGCTGCTGCATCCTTACGTATTTCTTCCACCTGCACCACCGTTAGTACCCACAGCACCACACAAGTAAACTAGAGTAAAAACTAGAGCAGACAGGGAAGACTCACGCAGCTCGCTGGGGCTCGGGGATGCTGGCCTCGACGGACTTGATGTCCTTAGGCCCAAAGCCGGTGAAGGTCCGCTTGTGCTTGGGACGCGAGAAGCCTGGTCCGACGGGGCCCTGGAGGTCTGAATGCGGAGCCCCGACGGACGGCCGGCGCTCTCGAGGTTGGTGGGAGGTGTCGATGCCAGGAGCCATTTTTCTCTGTTCTCTGCTCTTGAGTCTTTTCTCTTCTAGCTCCGTCTGTGGTGATGTTGGGTGGAGTTGTGGTGTTTGGTGTAGTAGTTGGTTGGTGATGTAGTTAGAGGCGTGCGGGCAGAGGGGCAGCGAGGACGAGAAGACGCAAAAGTCGCACAGCCTGGAAGAAGAAGAAGACGGAGAAGAAGAAGACGGAAACGAGAATGAAGAAGAAGAAGAATGAGAAGCTCTCTTAAAGTCGCAGGCCGGGAAGAGACGAGCTTATCAAGTTCGAGGTCGGCGCTGGTGGCGACGGCAAGCTAAAGGTGAAGGTAACTTGTAAGTATCCTTGCCCGGGCAGCACAGCTTGCATGAGACGGTTAGACAGACAGACCTGGCTGACAGGCACATATAACCATTAGATAGACAGGATAGACAGGATGGACAGAGATAGACAGAGAGATAGACGGCGGATTAGCAGTCTCCGGGTTCCATATTGCAGTAGATGAAGCCGGACATCCCTCGACGGGCCGGCGTCCGTCTTCCTTGTCTGCCAGGTAAATCTCGCAGCATCCAACAAGGAGCTGGCCAGCCAACATCAACATATAAATAGCAAGGTTGGACAGTTTTAGTTACTTTTACTACGTAGCTTAACTCTGCTTTAGTTGCTTGGTCTGCGGGCTTCTTGTTACGAGCTGGAGAAAGATGGACATGAGATGCTGAGCTTAAGCTTAATCTAGATGAGCTGGAGGGAGAAGTCAGGGCGAAGAGAGAAGCGGTAGTTTAATAGCACATCACAGATGGAAGATAGAATGTCAAAGTCGAGACACACAGAGAGAGATAGATAAGTTATAAGAGAGAGAGAGAGACGGGGTTCTCGTACATCATCACGATAAAAAAAAAGGGGGGATAGCAAGAAGTTAAGGAGGAGAAGAAGGAGAAGGAGAAGAAGAAGAAAAAGGGGGTGGGTTCGTTTTTTCTTTTTGGCAGAGGCAAGGAAGAAACAGGGTAGATGGAGAGGTTGGAACATGGCGTAGTCGAGGAGGCATGGTAGGAGGATAGGTAGAGAGGTAGAGAAGGTAGAGGAGTAGGTCGGGTGGAGGGGAGGAATGATATTAATGTAGAGGTGGGTTTGGTCGTGAGTGATGCATTAACCGAATAGTAAAAAAGTAGTAAGGAAAGTGAGTAGTAAAAGGGACGAACCAAGAAAGGGGGAGGCGTCTTTTTTCAAGGGAGGAGAGAGAGAGAGAGAGAGAAATCGAATAGATATAGTGCAGTGCTTGGGCGGGCGTGCAGCGTCATAAGGAGAGTGAGAAGAGAAGATATGAAAACGAAAGAGAAAGGCAAAGAAACTCGCTGATGAGATGAAGATGACCGAGGAAATAAAGGAAATAGAAAAAGGAAATGGAATGGAATAGAAAAAAAGAGGACGCCGCGCCGGTACAGTGTCGTCCCGTTTGGTAGATGAGAGAGTAAAAAAGAAGAGAGATGGGAAAAAAAAAAGATAAAACACGGCAGTAAAACAGACAAGAAGAGAGGAACAGACAGAACAACAGTGAACGCCGGTTGAAGTCAAAAAGTCGTGGGTATGTAAGTGGTATCTCATGAAGTAGAAGCGGGAAGTAGTAATGGTGGTGGTGGTGGTGGTAGTCGGATAGAAGAGAGGTAGGGGGACGAGGTTATAATATTCCGGAGTCCTTGAGGGCGTTTTGGAGGATGGTCTCTTTGACGGCGGCGAAGACCAGCCGGATATTCGACGTGTCGGTTGCTTGTGTCAAACTACAGCATGTTAGTATAAGACTTAAAACTGTAAGAAAGGAAGTATATACGCACTGAGGATAGAGGTTGAGATGTGCGCGGTTGACCTGGTTGAAGCGCCAGAGCAGGTACTTGGCCGCGCGGTTGACGTCGTTGCCGCCGGAGTAGTCTGGGAAGTACTTGTTGAGCGGGGAGCGGCCGAGCTTCTGGCGGAAGAGGTCGACCTTGTTGAGGAAGAGGACGATGGAGGTGCGCATGAACCAGCGCGAGTTGACGACGGAGTCGAAGAGGACGAGGGACTCCATCATGCGGTTCTGGTTGCTTTCTTCGAGCAGGACCTGGTCGTATTCGCTGAGGGCGACGCAGAAGATGATGGAGGTGACGTTTTCGAAGCAGTGGATCCATTTCTTGCGTTCACTGCGTTGGCCGCCGACATCAAACATACTATCGAATGTTAGTATATT